TTTAAGCTCCCAGTGGTGGTGTCGTTTTCGTGGAGCCTTTTCTGACGTGCTGTAATGGCATCGCGCTGTCGCCTCCTCCATTCAGAACGGATAGCGACTCCGTTGATGACATATATGTTCGTCGTCGTTGCGTCGGTCTTCGTCAGCCGTCGTTGTGCTGCTACGCCCCCGGCTGTCAGAGGGCAATGAGCAGGTTCTGATCACCGACTTTTCGCAGTCCGCGTCTGTCCCCGAACAGCGTGCGCGGCCCTTGGTAACCCGGGCGACGACCGAGCCGGTATAATTTTAGAAGGCGTCAATACCATGAGTGGCAGGTGGCTGAATTTTGCGGAGACTTGCAACGGTCTCCAACCCTCCTCCTTTCTCATGCGGGCTTGGAACCGGCCATGGCAGAGTTCCAGATAATAAATGGAAAGAAAATAAGAAACGCGCTGTGTTGATCCCCTAGCTGTGATACTGCGTTCAGAAAAGGAAGCAAGTTTGAGTCGTTGTATTTTGGCCAGAGATCAGTTTTGTGCGACGAATATTATGAATGCCGTAATTCGGTATAGAGAGATTGCACTCCAACAGCATAAACCTTTTTGATTTTTTTCTTAAATCTAGCAGTGATTCGGTCATCGTCCATTTAATGTCAATTTTAAAGGCGTACTTTCCATCGAATCCGTGACTAACTTTAACACGCAGAAAAAAATCAATGTTTCCTTATCAGCGTAACAGCAATTATAAATGTGCGGACAAAATGAGCAAGTACTGACATTGTATACATTCAGGAGCTAGTACGTTTTACATATTTCCTCGAAATATAGTAAATTTATTCGTCCGTCAGAAGGACGCTAAGCTTGTTCAGTCAGGGCTACTGTTTCTCTAGCCTATCAAATAATGCGCTATTTCGCATTTGCTAAACTACCATGAAGTTTTGACCTGTTCGAATGACTTTCTTGGAACTTTGGAGCAAGAGATTAATGCCGCAGCCTGTTGAAACGCTTTGTGATGAAGCAACGCGCTTAATAGTAGCTTCCCGGCAAGAGAAACGTATTTTTAGTCTTTTATCTTTTATCAAATATAATGATCGTTTTATTAATTTATACATTACCTTGGGGTCCCAAAAGTAAGAATAGGAATGCAAAAATTAATTTCATAAAGTCGTCAGGTATCACTATTTGGAAAACTCCAGTTTTGTTTCCCATGTCCTAATAAATGACTACGTTTAAAACAAGGCCGGTGTTTACTATATTGATTGTCTAACATGAACGAAGATGGGGTTAAATAGTTTTCCAGGAGGATTGAGCCTTGCAGCGGGGTACGAGATTTTTCCTTTTATGGTTCCTCGAAGTATTCTATCTATTTGTTGATCGCTTCTGATTAGCGGCCTGTCATTTATATTTCCCCCCCCCCCCAAAGTTTTAGTTTTACCTATGCGTTGTTATTTTTCATGTCTTGAAACATTACAGATAGCTCCTTTAACTTGTTTCTTCCGTTATAAGATGAAATTCTCGCTTGAACTGTTTAATGTACATTTCAGCGTTGGTTGTTCGTCAGCGTTCTTCCTGTGATGTTTAATTGCATCCATTCTGTGGGAGTGATTCAAAGAAATCTTTGTAAAGACTTATGTTCAGCACGATTCCCTGTGATTTATGACTAAAATATTTCTTCTGTGATTTGAAATCAATTAAAGTTGGTAAATTTTAAAAATCGGATGAATGTTGAATCCTTCAGTACCGAAGAAAATAGTTTATTCGATTGAGTAGTAACGTTAGACTAAATTAGATCTTGAAACCATGAGATTATTTAATAATTTAGTAGTTGTTCTAAAATTGCTTAACATACAGATCACTCTTTCTCCGTAGAATGGCATTTCGATGTCCGAGCAGGTTTCCATTTGGCCTTGCACCATGATGCGGTTTTGTATCCATGCACTGCAGGTGCTAAATTACCATATAACCTTGTTGGTCTGCTTGAACTTCCCCCTAGGCTACTGGAATAAAAAGGGCAGTGCAGTTATGCCTTGTAAGTCTGAGAATTGACAGGGGATTATGGTTATAGTTAAAGTTAACTAACCAAATTCTGAAGCTGTTTTCACGATGGCTATTATCCCAGAATCAATCATTTGATAAAAAATTGTTTGTTGTTCAAATTGTTCAAATGTTGTGGTTAGTTGATCAGTCAGATTTCGAGCTTCATGTCACGCTTAGATTTGCCTTTGATTTAGGCCCTGTTCTGGATCATACTGTAATTGGAGTTCCAGCCGGTTCTTTTCTGAACGCGTCCGTTGGTGCTGGCACGAAGCGGGATCAGCGGTCGCAAAGATTGTCGACGATTACCACCGGCGGAGGCTGTGAGCCAAAGAGTGACTCGGTGCTCGATGGGAATTTGTGCAGTGAGATCAACATGACAGTCCTGGATATGTTAGAGAATGTGTCGCGTGTCGCCTTGACTTCTGAAATTCTGGTGTCCAGTGGAAGTAGTTCATGCATTTTAAACTTGGTCATGCGGGTGATTTTGCACATGCTGTCTTGCAACCAGAGTCTGCAGGTGCTCCGCAACCTATTTGCCAGTCAAAGGTGTTTTGTCGAAAAGTATCCAGAACTCCTGTTCGAAGAAGAGACCGAGCAGTGCGCAGATTTATGTTTGCAGATCTTAAGGCACTGTGCTTTTCGTCTGGAGCAGGTTAGAGCCGAAGCCTCTGCATCATTTTACCTCCTGCTCAGAAAAGGTCGGTATTTATTTCATTTTTTG